CTATTACCCAATGGGTCATCTCCTTGGCGCTCTATGAACCGTTTTTCTTTCTTGGAAAAACTACAGTCTCACGACCGTTGCGATACGACTGTTACACATTCAAATGACAGGAAAAAAGACAAAGGAAACAATCAAATACCAATACGAAGGTCGCATACGTACACAAGTGAAAGGATTCGGCTCTCTTACTAAGTGAAAACCAGAATGCTCTCAAATGCGTCGCCGTTACATAAATCACGTACGAAGAAATTCGGCAATGGCGAAAAAAACGGAATTTTTCGAATAGAGAATGTCTGGCACGTGACAATCGGATTAATCCCCAGCGAAAGGCGCCACACGTGTCCGTCACGTGAGCCCGCCATTTTCGAAAAATTCGCGCGCCATTTTGAATCATCGCGGGAAAGTGGCCATGATAGCTATGATAAACCGAATATCTTCGGCGTTACTCATTTTCGCAACGACTCCTTCGATTTCTCACAGTTTTATTTTTCGCTTTTTCCCCTTTTTTATTATGATAACTGCATATGTGGCTATTAATTACGGAGTAATTTATGCCACGGTTACGGGAGGTAATTACAGGTTTGCTTCTGTAAATATTTCACACTTAGCGGACGGTAAAGTGGACGGCAATTTTCGCAATTTGATGAGTCGTTGGGTCCAGCGGCCTTGGCGGTTTTCCGTCGAAAATCGGAAGACGCTGGACGAGATGTGACCTAACCCAACTTTCTAATTTCTTGTGAAATTGGTGTATTTTGGACGGTTTAACAAAGTCGGCCGAAACAAAATCGAGGAGAGGTCGAGACCTTTGAAGAATTTCCTGAGTTAATGTAAAAAACCTGACAGGAGACAGCTGCATGAAACGCAAGTTTCGGCAATATTTTATTTTATTACGTGATGTTATAGTTGAAATTATGTTTTTAAGATTACGTCAAGATTTATTACAAGTGTGTTACAATTTTTACATTAAATATGCACGCTACGAATTTAGTAGCACCTCAGAAAATTAATACTCTGTGGTTAAATATAACGGATAAGAAGCCACATTTTGACGACATTTTGATCCGTTCTATGAGCTGTTTATGATGTAATTGTCATTTCCTCATAGCAAATAACCTGCTTTTATTTAACTCGCTAATTTAAGAACCGTTCAAACTTTCTGATGATGCCAACTTTGCGTCGTCATTTTGTGTCAAGAATGCATTGGAGTATTATTGCTTGCTTGCAATCAGTGGTGCAACTGATGAAGCGGATTTATTAACTAAATAAATTCTAAAATTAGCTTTTTAAAAGTTGGCAAATTTTCTAGTTTTATATTAAAATCCGGTCTTTAAAATTCACAGCCCGCGAAAGGTTAATATGCAGAAGACGACTAATTTTATTTTATTTTATCAAATAAAAAATTGAACAGTGAAATATGTGTTTAATCAAGTATCTAATGAAGGAAATGTTGTTTTATTTGTTAAAAATAAAATTTCAATGGGCGTTTAACATATGCCTTGTAAATTTTCTCCAAAGTGATCTGGTAATTATTTTTATAATATTTTAGTACATATTTTGACTTTCGACTTTAATTCTTTTTTCAAAATTTATATTTTTTATATCTAAACGTCATTCTGTCTGTGTTTGAAGCGACCTTGCTTTCTCTTTCTGCATTTTTTCATTACCTTTTATATTTCCCGAACTTGCGTTTGTAAAGTATTGAAATACTGCGAAAATAACATTTCATAAATAGCTAATTTCATGTTTTCTCGACGTTTCATAGCTCCTACAATGCGGAAAAGTAGTTCTCCTATTTTTGTCTATCTATCGCCTGTTGAGCATTTTATTAGACAGATAAATAAATTCCGCAAATCATCTCAAAATTTTGTTAAATGCATGTTATTTAAAATTTGCAAAATAATATGATTCCGTACTTTTAAGTTTATTATTGTACATGTATGTGTTTAAAAAAAATCAACAGTGGGCAATCAAAATTGATCTCCTTCAAAAATGTGATGACGTCACCTAAAAATTTTATTGAGAAAATCTCCCTCGAAACATACGTACAGCATGCTGCTTGACTTCTACTTTAATAATTACTTTAATTTTCAGGTGTTATAAGAGAACATAAAATTATCACCATCAAATTTGGACGTGCTTAACTGATTGTATGTTATACTATAAAATTTAAATTTTATTTTCCTCAAAAACATTAAATTGTTGATGGGGATGATTTGACAAATTTTGGTTAGCGTTTTACCATCTACACGATACTCCTAAAATATATAAAATTTGACGACAATCAGTCCAGTAGTTTCGGAGATCTGTTTAATAAAATTTGACACAGGCGATAGACAGACAAACGACAGACATACGGAAAACTGAAGCCTATTTTTCCTACTCTAGGGGTCATGAAACGTCGAGAAAACGTGAAAGCAGCTATTCGCCTATTACAGTTAATACTTCCTTGACTGAAAATGTTCCTGAATAGGTATCTTTTTTTAATTTAAATGTGTATCAAATTTTTGACAAAAGAAATTGCACCAAAATTATCTGATAGTACTGTTTTAAATTTACGGACAGTAAAAATATGTACAATTTAATTTATTAACCTATGAGAAATTGTTTAAATATGTTAAAAAGTTTGAATTCATAGGGTAATTCAAGGGCAATTACAGCTATTATCTATGTTTAAAAGCTGATAAAGAACTAATAATCATTGTACACACATTATATAGTTATTTATGCAACAAGTGCAAAAACTGATCGTTTACTGCACGCAACGTTAAGTGCAATATTATTTTTTGCACGTGTTGCATACAAATTTTTTTTACGATAGTTAATGGAGCAATAACTTTATTTAATTACACATAGCTGGAAGGACAATATATTGATAATTATTAACAATTCACAATAGTATTAAATTAACTAAATAAAAAGATTTAAATGACGTAGTAGGAAGCGGGTATTATTATTATTATTATTTACTGACAGTGTGCTAGAACTTGAATAACCATCTATGCCATAGCAACGTAATCATTTTTCATAAATAATTGATGTTTATTGTACTAGAGCAATAAACAAGAATTTTTTGCACTAGGGCAATAAAGAGATACTTTTTCCACTTAAAACAATGCAATAAAGTATTTTTTTATAAGATCGTAGAATTTAGCTCCACGCTTTTTCTCGAAAAAATATAAAAGAAGTCAAAAACTAAAGTTTTACGGATTTTATTAATATTATTTTCAATTAAACAGAGTGTTTTGCTTGAATACCCTGTATATTTTTACATCCTGTTATTAGCCTCTTCCTGAACTTTATAGAATCATAGTTTATTTTTGAAAATCGGAAGCGACGTTGCCACGTTATTCCAATTTTTTGTTTTTTTATAATCTTTATATTTTTTTTACAAATGGTGTTCTATTAAAAAAAACTGAAATATCAATATCTGAAAATTAAATTAAAACCAATTTTATTTATATTACACTAAAGGGCTTATTTATATTACATTAAAGGGCTTTATCTCTCCACAAGATATTTCAACCCATATTTTACAAATCACCCTACTGCGATTTTTTTTGTGAACCGTTCCAAGAAAATTGGAATAACGTGGCAACGTCACATAACAATTTCGAAAATAAAAAGTGGTTATAAAGCCTAAGAAGATATTAATCGAAATATATGAAAATATCTAGGTATTGAAAAAAATAAGTTATGTGTCACATCTTAGAAGCAATTATCTCTATAGGTAATTGAAAATAATTTTGTTAAACAACTGTAAAATTTTAGTTTTAGATTTATTTTCTTCTTTTAATAATAATTAATGAAAAATCGAGAAGCACATGCTTAGTGACTCACCCTGTATATTCAAAATTTTTTAAATTAGTTTACAAAATAAAAAAAAAATAAAGTACGTTTCCTATAAGAATCAGAACTCAATGAAATTAACCGTAATTTTTAAGTTTAGTATCAAAATGGGGGATGTAATTTCTTCAAATTTTTTTCGCATACGCTTTTTAAAATTAGAGTGAACCTCCCTCTTAAGCACAGTCGTTTAAAAATTTAAGTACATATATGGAAAAAAATTAACACAGTTTTTTCTTAGACCATTATTAAACGTTTTACCTCATTTATATGATAATATTTCCAAGTAATTACGTCCTGAAATATTCTTGTTCAAAAATCATATTTAGAGTGTACTTAAGTTTTCGCTACTGTGATACCATTAAAAAAATACTTTGCTTGCTTGCTGCTTTATTTTAAAGATTTAGAAAATAATAAGGTGTCCACAAATAAAAGGAAATTTATATTATTATTAATAGAGTTATTTAAAAAAGCATATAATGATAAATGAAAAATTTAGTATACTATATTAAGAGACATTTATTTATTTGTTATTTATTTAAGTCAAAGAATGAATTTTATAATGTTCCTAAATAAATGTTTTTTTGTGGACTGTTTCTGCATAATTTATGTCTTGTTTAGTTATGTTATGAGTTTTAAAGAAATTTTTATTATCTGGATAAGAAACGTTTCTATTTTTAAATGATTAAATATTTAAGAGTTTTATAGTGCGTTGCAGAAATGCACAATAATGAGATCTGAAGTATTGTTACTGCATTAACTGATATTTATTACTAGAGCGTCTATCTAATGTGGTATGTGACCTACAGATGCAAAAGCAATATATGTAAAATAAGTTCTTTGTTAGGGAAATACCTAATATAATAACATTTAATGTGAAATGAAGTAAAGACATAAAACAATAAATATTACCTAAGAAAAACGTTAAACACAACCACAAAAAAACTTATAATATACAATAGTAAAAGTCATTACCATTCCAGCTTCTTAGATAGATTTAGTGAGCAAAAACTGTCATCATAACATTGTCGCAACAATGGTGTTAATTCTATTCTCATTAACATTATCCTAATACTTCGTAAAAACTGGACTTTGACAAATTTCCGGAACTGATCATCACATTCTGTCATAATTAGTCTCTATTTCTCTTTACTCACCGGAATCTGGACGAAGGTCCCATTGTTGAGAACCGGATGAGAATAGAGCGGCACGACAGGAACAGAACCATTTTTAATATAAATCGGCCCCTGTATGGGGGTGACAGGAGGCAAAGCGGGAGCCTCCTCATCCTCGTCATAGTCATAATCGATTACAGCGTGCACTTTAGTCTTAGTACCATCATCAGTAACTTTGGTATAAGCAGGCTGCTGCTGGTTATGATGAAACTGTGTCGCGGGTAATTGTCCTTGGCGTCCTTGATGTAACCCTCCGAAATCCTCCCTCAGGAAGGGCTTCGCGGGCGTCGGGTACGAGTAAGGAACCGGAGGAGGGAAGAAGTTGGAGCTGGGAGGGTTGGGGGTCGCCAGGAAGGGCGACGAGAAGTTCAGAAGGGACATGGTGACCGGCGTCACGTTGACCACTCGGAAGATGCCATCTGAGAATTTTTTTTTGAATTTTGAGTTTGTTGTCCCGAGGGCCAGTTACCTTTTCTTTCAGCCAATGGGTGAGCACGGGTCCAGACACTGGCAGGAATCGGTGGTCTGTGTTTTCGACTCACTGAACACTTTTAAACGGTGTTGCGCTCGATCGCGACTGTGTGACATTACTTGCTAAGTTCAGTGGAGAGGTACGATATAACCCCACTCACTTTATACACACACACCTACTCGTTCACCGCTTCTTATTTTATGATAATTTGTTTATAAAATGTGTTACGGATATTATTTGCATGAGGAATTTGATACGGTTCCTTGATGGCTCAATCGGAACCTTCGATTGTCAATTGATGGGCTTGGTGGGTTCTTCTAAATCGAAAATGTTCTCTTTCCAGTGATTTATCGAGAGATTCTGGTTGTGAATGGAATCAAGTACACCGGAAAAATTAAAGACAATCTAACCCATTAAGAAAGACTTCATTTAGAATAATAACAATAGAACTTTTTGGATTGATAAGTGATAATTTGATTTAAAGAACCTTTATAGGACTACATGAGATCTAATGCTACACAGGACAACGAATATTTAACTTTTTTTTGCTAGGAACCGTACACTATCTACTTATTTATATTTCAAATTTATTACATTTTTGTTATTTTTGTTATCTAGTTCTAGTTACAATGTTAGGGATAAATTTCTTCCAGCACGTCAGGTTTTGGGACAAATTAACTTAAAGAATTAAGAAAATTATTATCAATATTAGGTCTAATACGTATAGTACCGGTAAAAACAGATGAAAATTATTGCAAATTTCTACATTCATTCTTAGTACCCTTTCCAGCGGGACTAACCCAAAGTTCCCATAAAAATTGGTATACGTCAAGCTTCCCTGTCTGCGCACAAATCAGTGCCGTACTAGAAAAATTTGTAAACCTGTTTAACCACACTTACACAAATGTTATATTATTTATTTGTTATAAATATATACAGCTTAAAACAATTGCAAGGTGAAAACAATATATCTTGTTTGTTTTACATATTTACATATGGATTTGTACACGAGTAAAACGCAGAACAATTACAATTTTGGTATAAGTAGCATTACCACACTCTACTATCGCTATTACTGTATTCGTTGTCTAAATGTATAATAAGTTCTTGAAGATGTAATTTATAAGTTCGTTCGCCTGATGAAGGTATGTACTCTGTACCGAAACACGTGTCACCATTCATCAAACAAAATATTTTGAAACTGAAAGTGTATTTCAATACCTATTTACAAATTTGTGATCAGATTGATTTAAATAATTATGTACCTACCTTTTATACTGATATAATCGCATACCTACGAGTTTCATAATTGCTTGATTTAAAAATAAACAGACTAAATATTAGGAAATATGTCAAAACTTATTGAAACCAAAATTCGCACAACCAATACGATTTTTTGAAATACATATAATCAGAAAACGAAAACTAACTGAAAATCTGAATTCTGTTTGTTGCGCTAATGTCGTATGGATGTCATTTCCAATATTTTCTGTTGTTCCCTTATTTTTCGACTTGCCACTTTCCTCCTTTCTCTGTAGAGTCGAGATTTCTTGGAAGTTTGTCACATATCGTTTTAAGGAGTTCCAAAAATGGGTATGGTCGACGATGTTGTCGAGAAATGCTTCCCGGAATTCATCCCAAGCCGATTAGATCGAGCACCTCCACACACCGTTTATTTTCTGTCCATTCTAAAATACGGCTCAGTCATAAAATTTCTGCTCCAATGGAAATGTCAGTGTTTTTAATGTAAAGATTATTTTTCAGGGAAGCAACAACAAGCAACAAAACAATAAAAGTAAGGTTATAAGAGACGTTTCATGTAACATTTGTTAAAGTCAAGTTAGTTTCTGATTTTAGGATATTTGTTTCAAGTTTAAATTTAAAGTGATATTGTTCATTCTGGCAGAATAACATATTGTTACGATGATCGTAATTGAAAATTGGCGTGGGTAAAACTTAACAATTGAATTTGACTAGAGTCTACTTCTCCCGACAGTGGTTCCCATTTTAAACAGTTACGCGGTCCTTTTCGAAAGGTTTCCGTCACCGCTTCTAGGCTTGTTCTGGAGCACCCATCGTGACTTCGGCTTCCAGACTCTTTTTTAGCGAACGCAGTCCGGCCGCCGTCACCGAGTATGAGTCACCCATCATCGCCGCAGATAACACCCATAAGCGTCATACCGGAGCGGGTTATCGGGTTATTTCGGAACACTATGCATTAAAATCCTACTTTAGAAGCGTACAAACGTACGAAAAGTTTTGGGACTACTTGGATATCAATAAACTGAATAATGTATAGATACATTTTTTGGTACAAACATTAATAGATTTTAAAAAATGGTTAAAAGTTATTTCTACAGAATTTCGCTCGTCCTTTAAATACGATCCAACAAATTCCGTTTCTTTGAAAAATTATAAAATTTGATTTTTGATATGTCAAACATTGTTAACTGCTTACTCGATTTTTGCTGATTGTACCTTCGCTTTATGTCAGGCAAAGATTGTTGTCAAATGAAATTTTATCAAATTATTACAAAAACAACACAACCATATCTTTGTATACTATCCTCAAACATATTTGGCGCTTTGACTTCACACCAATTTGACTCCCATTATAATTCAATAGGCCGTCACAACCGGATGTCTTAAACCCGCTCACCGATACCTACCTGAAAAGACCTTTTCGACGTGCCAGGGACGGTCGAGACGCGAAGGACCCGACTCAGAGTAATTTTGTTTGTTAAAATTTTCAAATTTCAAAATTTCCTTACAGAACATGATTTATACTTTGAAGAAAATTACACAAAGACACAATTATTAGAAGTGTTACACACTCGAAAATTTGAGAAACAATATAAAATAGATGCTATGGCGCGAGATCGTGGATTTAGGGTGATTAGACTTCCGCCGTACCATTGTATATTTAACCCCATCGAACTACCTTAATCTGGTCGCAAATGAAAAATAATATAAGAAGGAATAATACGGCACCAAAATTTAGTAGTGCAACAATTGACATAATTAGGGAAGAAGCTTCCAAAATAACTGCCGAAATGTGGGCCAATTGTGTACGATATACACCGTTAATTATTAATTTAGAAGAGTCGAGTGATGATGACAGTGACTATTTCGATTAATAAATAAGCAGTAGTAGTTAATAAGTAAATAGTTGTGCTGTAATAAAAAATGATTGAGTACAAAGTTACTTTGTTTTTACTTAAAATAAAAAACTCGAAAGGCGCAGTTGTCGGTAAATGCAAAACTCAGTCCTGCCCTGTGCTTTTACCAGAAAAGGTCTTTTCAGGTAGGTATCGGTGAGCGAGTTTAAGACATCCGGTTGTGACGGCCTATTGAATTATAATGGGAGTCAAATTGGTGTGAAGTCATAAACGCCAAATATGTTTGAGGATAGTATACATTCTAACCGAAATGGTAATTAAACATGGTCATGGGCGAGAGAAATATTAACTTTAGTTGTTAAACATAGCAAAAGAACCAATTTTAAAATCATTATAACTGCACCAAAATGTGAGATGGAATTTTTTTGCTATTTTTCTGAGACTCGCTAGTTAATTGTTAAGCGCGCAGCGGAGAGATAATCCGCCATTTTCAGACACCCGGTATATTAGAACAAATATAAATAATACAAGTAACAGTGTAAGGCGGTGACTGACACTTTGTACAAGGTGATGAAAAAATGACGTATATACTTGATGGTACGTTGTTAAGAAGACTTTGAAGAACTCGAAAAAAGTGGTTAAAAAATCTCTGCACCAAACTTTTGTCAAAGTTGAAAAATTAACTTCGTAATAATGATTTGTTTTTATGAACACTGTCTAATAGACTTCATTTTTTAGTGTTGACAGATGTCATGTTTGATAATTTTTATTAAAATTAAATTATTAAATTAACATTAAAACATATTAGAATTACGAATTTAATTTTGAAGTTCAATATTTTCAAAAATTTGGTTAAGCGATTTTTTAACCATTTTAGCCTTCTTAGCAAAAGTACCATTGACCATAAGCGTCATTTTTTCATCAGAATGCCTATTTTTTGACACCATATAAATGTGTTTTCACATCCTATAATTTTTTTGTTTGTCTACGACAAAGAACTTTATTTAATGACTCATTGACACTCTATATATTTTTCAGAGATTTTTGTAGAGCTTGTTTTTCTGGACTCATTAATGTATTATGCTTTAATCATCTATTCTCTGCCACCTCCTTTGATTCTAACACATTATGTTACGAAAACATATTCAGGAGTGCACTTTTTCGGCTATGATAAGAAACGGATCAACAATTATTTCAAAAATATTAATGCACCGATAAAGCACAAGGCTATGAGTGACTTTTTCCATTTAAAAACGTTGCGATTACATTTCAGTTAAGAAACGTATGTCAATTCCGACATGTGCAGTGTAATACTAATAATAAAACAATGAAGTGTCCTGTTCTTGCTAAATTCTTGATAAATAAAAAATGTAGATAATAGCAGTAATAGTGTAAGAAAGAAAAAGCCCCATGCGACAATCGACCGTGCGCGATCTTCGGATTACGAGTCATCATTGATATACAGTATCGATTTTTTTGCGAAAATTTGGATGCTTCGGGGAAAACCTCAAGGCGGATTCATAAACCACAAATACAGGAGTGTGTTATTTTATAAAATTTGAAGCCTACTTACTATGAAAAATTTTGAAGGGATCGTTACAAATTTTGTTTAGCGTTTTATCATCTACACGATATTCCTAACATACAACAGTTTAGTTTTTTAGTTTTGAAAATTATTTGTCTAATAAACATTGACACAGACAGATAGACATAGGAAACGGAAGACCTAATGTTTCGTACTCATGAAACAATGAGGTAACATGAAAATAGCCAGTCGCTCGTGGACCCTATTACAATACGTATGCTGGGGGAGTAAAAATAAACTCGTGAAACTGTATTTTTCAGCAAACAGTCATTTCATAAGTTTTTGAGATAACGTCAACAGTTGTCCAGATGGAATGAACCAAGTACGCCATTATTTTGTTCATGCAGAGTAAGATTTGCTTCCAAATATACTTAAGATTTCAAAATAGAAAATAGTCATCGAAGTAGTTGGAAATTTTCAAACGGAAACAGAAAATTTGTATTGTAATTTTTTACAGATCCTGAAACGCAAAGAAAACATACAATTTTATATTGGTTTTCCCTTAGCGGTTTGTCGAGAGTAGAGTTAACACAAATTAAATTGACTAGTAATTTCTGTCTAGGCTATCGTACATTTTTTATGCATTATTAAGTATGTAAATATCGCTTCAGCTATGCATTTATTTCTGTATAACATATCATCGCAGCCAGACAATCTTGGACGTCAATGTCATTCCGCTGTCACAAAGTGTAAAACACCTTCAAGTATTCTAACCATATTTTTTATGACACTAGATGTGACGTGACATTACTTTTAAATTTCAAACGTCAAATATGACAGAAAAATGACGTTCAACATTTTCTGATTCCGACTTCTAGTCGAAATCTCTACACAGATACATAGAACTTTAAGGAGCAACTATGACTACAAAAGTGTGGACAGGAATTAACTCATCCTTTCGTAATCGATCTTTAAAAGTCCCACCTTTTTTTTAATTTCACGCTGGCGAGAGATTTTTAGAGTAGACATTAAATCATAAACGCATAAATGGCAAGTGTTACGTAATGTATATACAACAATGCATAATATAGGCAGAATAAACGTATTAATAATATATATTTAATGTTACATAAGAAGTATAACAGAACTAAAAAAAAGTTCTCATTAGGAATTAATTAACTTAATTGATACGATCTAAAACCTCGTATGTTGCAATTAAATCCGATTTGGATTTTATTAGTTTTGATTGGGGATTGCTGTCATTGTGACCGTTTACATTTTACTATTTGAAAGGGGAAATAATTTAAAAAATATATAGTATAAGAATACATTATCCACTTTATTATTGTTTCTTTTATGTAATATGCTTACTAACCTGATTCACTGTCGTTTCTATTATATTTTGTTAAAAACCCGAAATTACAAAACTTGCCATTAGTTCTACGACTAGCTGTTCATTTATACAGGTGTCTAGAAATTTGCGCATCATCTCTAGTTATAATAAATTATCCTAATACATCTAGTGAATATAGGAAAAATATAAAAAAATACCGTTTTTTCGAAACTGTGAAGACTTAAAGGTTCGTTCTCCACCTGTTCATATCTCTCACATATGATTGCAACTGAACATAACACCAAACTGACCAAAAATTTGTTTCGCATAAAGAGAATTTTTTTAAATGTAGGTAGGTACCTAATAGTTTGAAATCGATTTGAATGATCAAGAGAAAAATTTAGATGTCACGAGAAACAAACTTCGACTGTGTCCTCTCTCAACAAGTGTATTAATAATCCCTCAGTAAGGTGTCACAGTACAATAATTAATCTATCCAAACCGGAATATCTTGATTTATTTAAATTGTAGATATCCAGACAATAATGTTTTTCAGAGATCAGACTACCAAAAAGTGAACTGGTTTCAAAATCATGTATTAGATAATCTGCATTGGTCAGCCAGGTTTCCAGATTTTATTCCATTGGACTTATTTTTATTGGGGTATATCAAAAATATAGTCTACCTAAATTCTGTTCTACCTAAATTCTGTTGGCCAGAATACATGTCGCTGCGGCTTCTGGCCCCTTTAGATGTTATAAGGGGTCCATCAAAATATTAGACCATGTATTTCAGCAAACTTCCTGTTTGTCTATCCACTTTTCTTTTGATTTATCTCATTCTTTGGATTCTAGAAAACTTTTTTTTTATATGATTTTTCACTTTAATAATAATTATTATTATTAAATTAAATCAATTTTGTTACTTGACAAAATATTTATTAAAAAAAAAATACATAGATAAATACGTTTTATTATAAAATAAGTTGGCACATCGCTGGTGTCACGAAGAAAATTTCGACTTTGTCGCACATTTTCGACGATTTTGCTGTTTTGGAATATATTTAGTACAGGGTGTTATGAAAGTTTTTGTTCATTTGTTTCTTTAACTGGAGCAGAAGTGTATAATTTTCCTTCGGGGTGAATGTTTCTTACTGTGGTTGCAGCTGCATTTGTCGTTGAAGTCTCGCTTGACATCAATTCACTGACTGAAGATTCTGTAGGTTGTTCAGTACCGTTGATGATTTCAGGTTTGGATTGTCCGCTCTCAGTCAGGTTTCCATCTAAAAGGATAATATTATATTTAAAGAGTTATTGCTGCTACTATTTTTTTTTTAACAACATCTGTATTAATCGCACTGATTATCCTAAAGTATCAGATGGTTTACTTTTAATTTATAATTATCTATACGTTTTTTTTTTCTTTACCTTGGCACTAATTAATTAGTCATCACCTATTTTATTTCGCTAGAAATCCATTTAATTAAATTAAACGTAACAATAAATTTGAGAAACTAATTGACAGACAAACAAAATACTTTTTCAAAAATTAAACAAAGAATTTTAAAATTGTCATAAAAAATGAAAAACCATCAAACAAAATGTATTCAAAGATTTGTCAATATTATCTCAAAATAGTCAGACGAAATTCACCCCCTTCGAAACATGATCATGTTACTAGTATCACTAAAGTATATTAAATAAACGTTTCTTGAAAAGTACTTCCTACATAGATAATGATCACAAATGAATGCCGCCGGCGTAAGTCGCCGCCGCCGCCGCCAGAAATTCTCTTGAAATGCCACCACCGATTTAGATACTCGTTCGTCATGCTCCTGACTGCTAATTAATTAGAATTTTTTAGAGTAAACGTTTTCAAATGTTCGAGAATAGAACAGAATAACTGTATAATGCAAATTAGTACGTTCACTACGTTCCGAATGACACTAATTAAAATTTAATCACTCAAACAATCTAGTTTTTTGCATCGTAAAACAGTCTTTTAGTTGAAAATGTGATAATTAAAAAGAAAAAAAAGCAGTTATAATTTGCAATGTCACCGATCAGTGTGAATATTACGCCGTGGCCCCCGAACACTGACAAATTTTTAGGCCACCTACGGCCGCCGCCGTCAAAGTCTGAATCAGTGCTTAGGTACTTCTAGGCATATTCTAGTTTTACATTGTTCATACCAAAATCATTTGTATAAACGAACCCTGAGATTTTGGTTGTTTCAATTTTTCAATTTTAATAACTAACCAGTCTTCTTCATTTTCAGCTCTATATATCTGTATAAATTGTATATAATACAGTGCGTCTTAAATATATTTTACTTTCAAATACTATAGGACAGAAAAATTAGAGGGAATGGGAAAAACTGGGAAGAGAAACAATAAGACAAAGAACAAATGAGAAAAAGGAGAAAATATAGAGAGTTGGGGAGAGAGAAAGAGAGAGAGAAAGAAGAGAAGTAGTTTATTTATATCAATATAGTAGCTTATTTTTAATTACCTATTCTATGGATTCTTTGTTTAATTTTAGCTACCTGATTTGCTTTCCATTTCTTCCACAATAACAGTCTCTTCTGGCTTTGTACCCTTATCCTTTGCATTCTTTTTGTCAACAAAATCTTTCAAACGGGTTAGCAAGTCAGGAAGTTGTGTCGATTGGGCAATATTTTGGTCACCCTCTGAACTACCTGGCCGAAGTTGCCCCAGTGGAACAACTTGTGCTAATGTATTGCCAGGTGTTGAAGGTTTAGATTCTAAAGAAACAAAAATCAGCCTTTTGAAATAAATAAGAACCATCGACGAACCTAAAGAAATGGGAGTCTGTGTAGGAACTGCTGAAGGAACTTGTATTGTAGTACTAGATTCAGGAGATTCTTTCACTCTTTCCTGTACATTAAGAGCTGGTGCCATTTGACTAAAATTTTGATATCCTTCTGGATTGTTAGGCCAAGGTTCTCCAGGAGGTACAATTTGACTCAGTGTACTACCTGGTCTTGCGTGGAAAGGCGGATTAGGTTGATATTCTAAAATTTGTATGTTTTTTATTAATAATAATTTTGTGCTAATTTAAATATATACCTAAACTAATTGGTGGCTTTTGAGGAAGTTGACTGGAACTGGTGCTCTGGGTACTCGATTGTTCTGCACTAGAAGAATTTGTTTCTTGTCCTCTGTTTACCACATTCGGAGAATTTCCAGTTTGACTGAAATTCTGATAACCTTGAGGATTACCAGGCCAGGGTTTACCGGGTGGAATAATTTGATTTATATTATTTCCCGGATTTGGATGGAAGGAAGGTCTATTTGGTTGATATTCTGGAATAAATACATTATATTTTTTTGCAAATTTTAGTAAATACCCACCTAAACTGATCGTTTGTTCCTGTGGCTTTGCCGTTGCAACCGTACTAGGCACAGTCGTATCTTTTATTTTGTTGACTAAATCTGGGGAATTCCCGGTTTGGCTAAAGTTTTGGTATCCTTCAGCACTACTAGGCCAAGGCTGCCCAGGGGGTACAATTTGATTAATATTATTTCCTGGGTTTGGATGAAAGGAGGGTCGATTTGGTTGATATTCTAAAACAATTCAATTTGTTTTACTTCGGTGTGTTCTAGTGAATGCTCACCTAGGCTTATTGTCTCTTGTGGACTCTTCGTGGTTGTGCTAGTGGAACTAGTTTCCTGTATTCTGTTGACTAAATTCGGCGAATTTCCTACTTGACTGAAATTTTGATATCCCTCAGGACTACTAGGCCAAGGCTGTCCTGGAGGCACGATTTGATTTATGTGATTTCCCGGATTTGGATGATAGAAGGGTCTGGTCGGTTTATATCCTATTAAAAGCAGTGTTTTTTACTAAGAATGGGTTAGCAGAAATGAAACAAACCTAAATTAATTGGGGTCTGTGTTTGACTTGTTGGGGTACTCGTTTGTAAAGAATCTTCTTTAATTCTGTCAACTATGGTAGGTGCGAGGGTTGTTAGGTAACCATCAGGTCCAGCCGGCCATGGTTTACTTGCTGGCACTATTGGTTGTAAATTATTACCAGGTTTGGGATGGTGAGGTGGTCTTGTTGGTTGATATTCTAGACAAAGGTATAATTTGGTCAGTAACAGTGAACACAAACATTTAGCTGAACGCTAACCTAAAGTAATTTTCCTGGTGGTAGTATAGGTTTGCGTCGGTGGTTTAGTAACTTCTTCTTCCGCATCTTCTGTCTCTGGCCACAAAAAGCCACTACTGGAACCACTTAAAGAAGTTTGTTTGTTTTCCGACTGCGTTTCTTTTGTTCTGTCTGCTATGGTAGGCACCTGATTGAAATTCTGATAGCCATTTGCATTGTCAGGCCAAGGCTGACCCGAAGGCACGATTTGACTTGGGTGAGTACCTGATGGTCTTGGATGATAAAATGGTCGCATCGGCTTATATTCTGTTTGCAAAAGTCACATTAAGTTATCTTTTTGACGTTTTTCTTGTACCAACAAAAAACTAATGTAGTGTATAAACATGATAATTCCTTACCTAATGATATCTGCGGTCGTGACTCAACCACCGTCAGTACAACTAGAAGCCCGATAACGTACATTTTGAACATCCACCCAGCAAGAAGTCAACGATGACACTGTTGAGGTCTGTACGGAAAATCCAAACGATTAACGGGAATAGGATGGTACGAACCTGTTTGCTTGTGTGCCCACGGTCTATATAAGACAAGAAGAACTACTGACCATTGACCGTTACTTGAGTAATCTCATTGTAATTATGCCAAATATATTTAATAAACATTTTTTTGTTTTGTTTTGGTTTATTTGTTTTTATTTCTGATCGTGTGTTGTTTTGTTGCGAACTGAGTGCGTAGCCTTCTAGCATAAAATGAAAACACAATCATGTTAATTAATTGTTATCAGAAGCAGCTTTATTAATGGTTTGAAAATATGAATTTAGCACGCAGTAAGAAACAGTTAGATTTTTACGTATGAGCAACCAGCAATACAGGTAAGAATGAAATGATTACTAAATAATTTTCTTGCTGCAGAGAGTACTTATTTATTTAAAGAAAATTGTATACTTGGTGTTACGGTCTTGTAACCATCAATAAAGAGTTAACGTTTTCAACCGCAAATTATGCGGGACGTCACAACGTGATTAATGTTTCCTTTGTTTAAGGATTGTGTACAAGACTTTAGATTTGATTGTATCTACAGGTTTTGTATTCTACTCTAAATATATTGAAATATTTGTATGGCCTAGATTATTATTGTGATATGATGTCCTGCTAACCTCCAGTGAGGTTGTGCTAATTTTAGAATTTTAGGAAAGGGATCATTAAGCTCGTGCGTAATTAGATACCACATTTTTTCTTTAGTCTACTTCCATTTGTTTATTGACACAATTAGTAACTATTTTGTCATTACAAAGAAGTTATCTTGACTTTAAAGTAGTGAACATTGCTGGTAGTATAACAACACGTAGTATATCATGCTCAGTCAAATCCTGATATAGAATCAATGAAAGATCATACAGACGTATTGGGAAAATACTATTTGAAAACTGACAAAACTTACCTTTGTGTTAAGCGTTTTATTTTGGAAAGAAATACAAGGGGTAAAATGTAAATAAGTACTCCTATATTTATTCAGGTTCATATAAAACTCACTAATACGGAAATAAAATTCCGGATTGGATTTACCTTGTAAAACAGAATCAGTCATTAATCCATGCGCCAATCAAGGATCACAATTGTCTTAACTTTTGGCAGAAGGCGTGCTCAACCCATAAAACTAAACGGATATGGTTTTAAAGTTTGTTCATGGCTGAGCACAACCAACACCGTCTGCACTTCAAGGTATATTGTGTTAGCAATTCCTGATTCTGTTACTTATTTGCAAAATTATTTCTTAAAACTGTATTTGTGTTAAAGTTCTGTTAAAAAGATTTAATTCAAGAAGTTTGGTGAATATTCAGGAATAATTCCATCGGGAAGGCACACTATCGTTGTGAACTGGATATAGGATAGAGCTAAGAAATGATTCAAAAGGGAAATTTCCATAAAATTCTAGACGAAATGACACCTCGGAAGAATCCAATTTGAAAACAAACGGAAATACAATAATTATTTTAACTTGATTGGGAAATTCTAGTTACAGAATAGGGTAGACTGAAAATGAAAATGACGTTTTAGAAAATTCTGTTGGAAAGGAATTTTGGACGACGTAATGGTGCAGAACAGCAGTGAAAGTGATGTTTAAGAAAAAGTTTAATCCAAAGTGTGGAAATGTAATAAAGGTGGTCTTTAAATCAAGAATTCATGCTGAAGAATCTATTTCTGGAACATTATATCTATGTTCTGTTTATGAAGATCTTGACGATACTAAAAACAATTCTATCAAATTGCGGATTACAAGGGTTGTATTATTAATCATTTATATGTAACAAAAAAGGCTAAATGAAGAATATGTCACAGGGAAAACGATAGAATTTTATTATTATTATTTTTTTTAGAATCATTAATCACCCAGGTAAAGGTTAATAAGAATTTTTTTTACTGTAGAAAGTACATAAATATGTTAAATCTGCTAGGACAAACTTTGAGGAACTTACTAAAATCTTAAGGACTTACCGAACAATAAAAACATGTTAAATAAGAGTAGCAGCACCAGACCGGTTGATTACAAGGGTGAGTAATACAGTTGGCAAGATCCTCCGGTTATGATAGTACTAACTTGAAACTGACCACAAACGGTGACATGGAAAGAAGTTCATGCAGAGAAAAAATTGCTGATCTACAGAAAAGGAGGAATAAGTTATTAGAACACATAACTAAGTTAGCGCCTTATAGTTTTGCAGAATTGAAAAATGGAAATCAAGATAAATAAATCAAAGACATTCATAGTCAGTGTGTATTAAATTAAGTGGATCGAAATGAAGCTGAAGCTTGAGAAGTAAAAGGTGTAAGAAAAGCGAGAAGAAAAAAAAACTGTCTAAGGTTATTTAGACCGAATTTCCCTTATTATGATACTCCTATTATATTATTATAATAATTATTATAAGATTTAATTATGCGAATTTTATTTTTTATGACTACCCCTATAAGTTAAAATAAAGTTATGTATGTAATCTTAAAGTAAAGGTAAAGAAGCATGCTATGTATACACTTCAAGTGAGTGTTTCCTTTACAAAATTTTCTGATGACGTAATCACCAATTTGGAGGAATACACTATAATACAAATAACAACAGTATTGTATTTCTAAAATTTTCGGGAAAATGGAGTGAGTCGTTCCTGATTTAATTAATAAAATACATTGTCTCATTGATTAATTTTTTGGGTCACCCTGTATAAGCAATTCTAAAAAAACATTAAAGCAGTGATAAATCACAAGTAGTCATCATATTTTGCACACTTTATATATTATTTATTATACAAAATTTTGAGATGGCATCATCAATTTTTGGGGAAGATAAACCGATACATTTTGAATGTCGATGTACCATGCCTACGATAAAACGCTTGCAAGATTTTAGAGCATTCAGTTTTGCTGGTTCAAAATTAAATTACAAAATGTTATAAAATTTTGATTTTTGTCTAGGGTAAAAACTAACACGGACTCATAACCTACACTTCTAGGAGTATGTTTTTTTTTTATAAAATTTAAACACATTTACTATATACAATTTTGAGGTGACGTCATCACATTGTTGGTGGAGATGATTATTTATTTAAAATGTAAAACTGGCCAGAGGATAATGACTTGTTATGCCTAAGGAACAGTGCCGATACTATTTAATATAAACTAGATCTATTATAATAATTATAATGCTAAACTGGTAATTCTAAACAATAAACTGAGTCTTCTGGAAGGCGCCGAAGGCAATTTAGAAATTAGCTACTGAAGTACTTTGTACAATATGAGGAGTTGAATTCCATGTGTTAAAAATTGGGTTTAGTAAGAAGAACTGCTTAATTCTGGTTCGAAAGTCCTCTTTCTGTAGTTTGAACAGATGACCGCGAGTTCGAAGATCAACAGAGGTGGAGAAGAGTAAACGGATGGGTGACCCTACATTGCTAAAAGCTTTAAAAGTTATAATTGCATCGCCTCGGATTTTTGGGTATTTTATTGTAGGTAACATCAGGATAATAAGGCGTTGTATAAATGCTATCGCCTGCTTATATCTTACTAGAACAAGGTGCCAAACAGCGTTACCGTACTCGAGCATGGGTCTCATGTAGGACTTATCCAATTTTGCTATCGTTGCAGTGGATGCGTTAGGGAATGCCTTTTTTATTAGAAACCCTAATCATACCAACTTGCGAGTCAACATCCTTTAAGTCAAAGTCAAAGTCAAAAATACATTTATTTAAGCTGGTTGGTAACAGTTTTTCCTTAAGATATTACATGGCATGGAGTGTGGGGCGCTACTGAGGCTTAGGGCCTTTTCAGCGCTGGACATGGCTATGATACAATAGGATTTATAACTAACTGGTTGTTCTTAAGATAATTGGTTTACATGTTTCGCTTAAGTAACTATAATAAATTCTAAACTTAAGATTAGGATTAAACTAGGGTTGGTGGTTTTCTGCGTCGTGTCGTGTCTTGTCTTGTCCGTTGTCCTCGGCGGTGGCTTGGTCCTGGTTGTCGTCGTCGTCCTTCTTCGTCCTGGTTGTTGTCGTTGTGGTTCCTGGTCTTGGTTGCGTCGTCGTCCGTCCTGGTCCTGGCTTGGTCTTGTCGCTCGGGGGACGGCTGAAAGAGAGATGTCCGGAGGTGGGGGTGTCGGGGGGGGGGGGTCGTCTCGTCGGGGTACTGTCCGTCGTTGTCGTCGTCGTCGTCGGAGGTGGGGATTAGGATCTTCTCAGTGAGATGGGGGTGTCCCCCATGATGTTTAGGAAGGTCTGGGGGGGGGGGTCTCCAGGAGAGTTGTTGGGGGGAATTTGATTTTATGTTTAGGGACTCGCGGAAGACGGTTAAGCAGGCGGTTGTTAGCCGCGAGGTATTTGTGTGATGTGTGTAATGTGTTTAAGGCGATTGTGTTATTGTTCGCGTTAATGGTTCTAATTACGTATTTTCTCTGTAGTGTTTTAAGTCGGTCTAGGATGGGGGTCGATTTTGTGCGTTGGTGGACATGCATGGAGGAGAACTTGTAATTTAGTCTGTAAATACGGTGGAGGATTTTTCTTTCGCATGCAGCTATTTTTTCGAGGGATTTTTTTGCAAGTGTCGCGTAGATGGGTGCTCTGTAGTAGATAATTGGGCGTATGTAGGTGTTGTAGGTGAATTTTAGGGTTTCGGGGTTACAGCCGCGGATGCGGCCACGGATGTGGTAGAGGAGGTTGCAGCGGTTTCGGACCTTTTTAAGGCTGGTTTCTAGGTCGGGATTGAGGGAGCAGTTATGGGAGAAGGTTATACCCAAATATCGGACTGTGTTTTGTTTGGGGATTTGTTCGGCATGCAATGTTAGTCGCGATTCTCGGAATTTACGTTGTTTTTTGAACGCGTGTGGGTAGGACATGCAGATAGATTGGGGTTTGAGGGGGTTTGGTTTGACTCTCCAGTCGTTGGTCCACGTCTCGGCTCGTCTGAGTGCTTCCTGGGTTAGGAGAATAGCTCTGTCGAGGTTTCTGTGGGAGGCCCAGATCGCGGTGTCTTCAGCGAATATCCTCGTCTTAGTCCTGGGCGTGTCTGCAAATGGAAAATCGCTGCAGTATACGGAGTATAGGATGGGGGAGAGAACGGAGCCCTGGGGGACTTCGGCTCTAATGTTGACGGGTTGTGAGAGAGTGTTGTGGATTTTGACTCTGCAGGAACGGTTATGTAGAAACGAGTCTAGGAGCATAATAAATTTTGGGTTGATTTGGCGTTTAATTAATTTGTAGATGAGTCCGTCGTGCCAAACCTTGTCGAAGGCCCGCTCGATGTCTAGAAAGACGGCGATTGTGCACTCCTTGAGGTTGGCAAAACGGGACGCGTCAGTATGGAGTTCTAGGATGGGATTCATTGTGGAGCGTTGAGAGCGGAAGCCAAACTGCTGTTGGGGAATGATGTTGTTGGTTTCTAGGAAAATTTTTAGGCGATTTGTTAGCATCTTTCCGAAAATTTTGCCCATGATGTTTAGGAATCATTATGGTAGAGGCTTGTTTCCAAGAAGTCGGGAAGTACGAAGCGTTGATACAGTTATTGAAAATGGTGGTTAGGGCTTAGAGGGCTGTTTGTGGGAGGTTTTTGAGAAAAATGGCTTCAATTTGGTCGAGGCCTGGGGCTTTGGAGTTTTTAAGGTTTTTGGTATAGGATTCGACTTCTTGGAGGGAGATTATGTCTGTCAGGTCGTGGTCGTCTTGGTTAACATGCATGTTTAGGAGGGCTATGGTGTGGAAGGGTTGCTCACGGAATTCCTGCACTTCTCTTGAGACTAGGTGGTAGAGGTCTTAATTGAAATTTGGGTCGCGGGGTATTTCATGGATTTCTTGAAGTGTTTGAGCGAAGGTGTTGCTCTGGTCTTCGGGAGAGGAGACAAATATACCGTTTTGTATTAGGTGGTTTGATGTTTGTGTTTTTTGTCCGGGAATTAATTTGAATTTGTTCCAGAATTGCTTTCCGTTTCGGTAGTCAAGGGAGGTGCCCGACCACTTTTCTTCCCGCTACTGATTTATATCGCGTCTGATTTGGGCGTTTAGGCGGTTGAAATGTGTTTTTAGAAGTGAATCGCGGGTTCGAACGAAATCTCTGTAGATTTTCCGTTTCTGTTTGATTAATGTTAGAATGCGCGGTGGAAGTGGTCGTTTGTTTTTCGGTATGCGTTTCACGGGTATTGCATGTTCTTTAGCGGTGGTGATTGTGTCGGTGAGTTGCAAAATTTGAATGTCGATCGCGTCGGTGTCGCGGGTTTCGTAAATTGGAGGCAAATTTTCGGTAATGTGTTCTTTGTATTTTGCCCAGTCGGCGTGTTTATTGTCGTAGACTAGTACGAATTTGTCGGGTTGGGGTGGAGCGGGTAATAAAAGTTCGGCGGTTAGTGGTAGGTGCTCTGAGGTGACCGTGGTGCCGATCGAACAGGGGGTGTTGAATTTCGGAATCAGAGGTTCGGTAATGATAATGTGGTCTGGTATAGAAGCACGGTTGTGGGTGATGAGAGTGGGTTGTCTATTTTCATTGCGAAAGAGTGGGTAGTTGGTCAGATGGTTGACTAATTTTCTGCCGTTGCGATTTGTAACGGTATCACCAAAATCTGTGTGTCGAGAATTGAAGTCGCTGATTAGAATGGCGTTCAGAGTTGTGATGCATATTGTAGGAGAAGTGAGGAGATTGTTTCACTTGGTGGATTCTAGTAACAGATTATGGTTATTCAGATGTTGCTTATTAAGACGTTGGCAGCGATGGCTTCAAGATTTGCTAGGTTGTGTGGGAGGTCATGTTGGACGGATGGGAATTTTCTGGAGATAAGGAGGGCCGTTCCGCGTGTGTTCGGGATGATAGAATGGCGTTGGTCTTTTATAAAGTGTATGGATGTTGTCAGTTTGGATAAGGTTTTTGACGGCATTTACTTTGAAGGTTAGGCAGTTGACATTGATGATTGAAATGTTAATGTGGGTGGGTTGGAGTCGTGCGTGGGGTTCGGAGGCTGTGAGAGGGGGATGGGGGCTGCACGTTGGGTGGGTGGCCCAACGTGCAGCGGGGGCTGTGGAACATGCATGTTAGGTTGTGTGGTCATTTGAGGTCAAAGGTTATGAAGAGGCGGTGTCCTGAATGGTTGAATTGGGGGGTTATTTTGAAGATGGCTTGGGATGCGTCTTTGATGGCGGACTGGGTTTTGGACTTTTCGTGGGGGAAGAGGTCAAAGAGGAGTTTTGTGGTGTAGGCTATGAGGGCTTTTGCGTGGATGGTGGACACGTTGATTTCGACTGGTTCGGGAACGTCGTCGAGGGGGTCGACAGGATCGGCGAATTCGGCTGGTGGGTTTATGATGTAGGTCGGGATTGTTGGGGTCTCAGGGGTTACAGTGAGTTTTTCAAACTCCGGGCACTTCCGGGACCATGCTGGGTGGTTGCCGTGGCAGAAAGGACATTGCGGGTCGGTTTTGGGGCACTTATTGGGTGCATGTGTGTCGGGACAGGTGGGGCAAATGGGTTTTTTGTTGCACTCGGAGGCGGTATGCCCAAGTATAAAGCACTTTGGGCACTGGACAGGTGTGGTGGTGGGTGTGAAGGCTCGCATGGGTGGTGGCGGCCGAAGATGTTGAGGCCTGAGTTTAAGAGGGTGTTGATGGTTTGGGGGTCGCTGGAAATGACGCGGACTAGCGGGGTAGGTTTGTTGGTTTTCTTGGAGACGATCCCCCAGATTTTGTGGATTTTCAGGTCTACAGAGGTGGCGTGGTTAACGATGTCCATCTCTTCGATGTTGATGTCAACATCGCGGACTACTATGGAGAAGAAGGGAGATTTTTTGGGGTTTTGTTGGGATCTGTTTCTGGAGTTTATGGGGCCGATGGTGACGCTAGCGTCGGAGCATTACCTTTAAAGCTGGGAATGGAAATTGGGCGGCAATTCGCTGCGTGTGATTAGGAGGGCGGATTTGTTAAAGTTTGCTTTCAGAACTTCGATGTCGCGGACTAAGAGGTGGGTGGTTAGGAGGGTGTAGAGATGTTTTTGGGGGGCGAATTTTGTGGGAATGTTTTGGATTGAGTACTTGAAGTACTCCTGGGGTTCGGATTCTTCGGAGATGTGGGAGACTACGGTGGAGTTGGAGTTCGAGCGTTTCCTTGTTGGGGAGAGGTTGGAGTCGTCGGAGGTGTGAGACTCACGAAGGGTGCGGCGGTCGGGGCTTTTGGTGGTTTGTTTTGGTTTGGGGTTGCCATGCTTAAAATTTAAGTTGGACTCACCGGGTTTTCTAGCTGATCGATTCGACGTCGAAGGCTGGGAGCTGAAGCTCTGGGTTCGCTGTGAGCGGCGCAGATTGGAAGACATCCTTCCTGTTCGATGCGTAGATCGAGAATGTCCTTTAATAAATGAGATTCAAGGTAATATTTAAATTTAGGATTATTGCTTCCAAGGTCTGTGTTCAGAGGAAGAAACCATTCAGCGCCCATTTTGATATAGGTTTAATATCAACATTTATAAGATCGCAGTTAACATAGGTATTATATACTTTCAGACCATCTGCAAATAATGTGAATGGACCCTTAAGAACTCGACCAAGATCGTCTGTATAAATAATAAAAAGGAGAGGCCCCAAAACAGGACCTTGTGAACTCCGCTTAACATTTCTCGTTGAGAACTAAAGGAAATGCCAATTTTTACCCTAAAAATCCTGTAGAATAAAAAAAAACCTTAGTAAACAACACTTTATACCTATATTTAAATTTATGCACCAGACGGCTTGGGAAAAATCAAAGTAGACAACATCGACGGGATTGCCGTTGCCTAACTCTCTGCTCCAATCATTAAGGCTACAAATGAGGTTACTAGATACGGATCTGCCGGAAATAAACCCATGCTGTTCAAAAGGAATAACTTTATTGTCCAGTAGGAACTGCATCATACGAACGATGATAATGGATTCCATCACCTTACCAACTGTAGATGTTAAATTGATTGGACGATTGTTTCCTGCGTCAAGTTTAATACCTTTTTTGAAAATAGGTTTAACTGTAGCTACTCTCCAGTCATCAGGTGCCTGCCCAGTATTTAGAGATTGTCGCATAAGCAGACTCAATGACCTTGCTAAGGCAGAAGTACACTCCGTCAAAATGGCAGCAGATATTTCGTCAGGTCCGCATTCATGACGGAAAACGAAGGAAACTGGAAGGAAATCAGCAATTACATAGTCCACATAGTCAAGGCAAAAGAAAGAAAAGAGCTAGAGGTTAACGCGGTTCCAGGGGGGCTGGAGAAAAACTCGACGTCGCTGGTCGAGGAAGGGGCACTACCAGGGACGATCGAACCTAAGTCGCTGGTGCCCATGAGGGTTTCCCCTTTCACAGGAAAAAAAAGGTCCGGGAGATCTGTTTTTTTTTAGCTTCTGGAGCCTCACACGGATCTCATCTTCAATAAAATCAACATTAGATAAAGATACGCCACATTGAGGAGTTGCAATATCTGGGGGACTATCTAATGGTTATACTATGTACTCATTTGCAAACGAGTCAGGGAAAACGTTTGCAATGTTTTCATTTTCTGTAATTAGAGTGCCAGCAGAATTTCGAAGTTGAGGTTTTCTTACGGTTCCACCGAGAGTATGTCGAATACCTATACTTATTTATAGAAGCATTTCGGGTTTTTACTGTCAGCAAGACGAGCTTCATAAGCCACCTTGGAATCTTTAACCTTCGATGCTAATAAATCAGAAAAAGCCTTATGAAAAATCCATCTCGTTTCCCGTTCGTTTGTATGTTTTCCATAAGATTTTCTTGCGTCTGACCATATGCAATATCTGATGGTTTATCCATGGCTTTTTGGCCGATCGGGTGAATGTTCTAGACATAGAGGTTTAAGCCACGTTTCACTGACTAAAATAAATAAAGGTTTATTGACTAAAACAAAAGCAGAGAACTCATTAAACTTTTAATATAACGAGGCAATGGGGGGTATAAATAAAACTGAGTAGATGCCCATACTCGAAGTACGAAGTACCTAGTTGAGTATTAGCGAGTATTTGCTCTTAGATAACTGAGCATGTATTCTATGTACTTTCAGTACATGTTCAGGTATATAAGAGCTGATACTCAAGTAGGTACTTCGTAATTCGAGTATGAGCATCTACTCAGTTTTATTCATACCACCCAATGTTCATCGAGGTTCGTGAGCAGAGAAATACATATAGCTAAAGTTTAAATTTCTGTGAGTTGCAAGGAAGGGAACAGTTGGTAGGCAATTTTCCGAAAATCATGGTGCAAGTAACAAATGATAATAATTAAAGAGTAATGTGTAGAGAGCGGATTTCTAGGTTTAATGCTTTTTGTGAAAAATGTAAGCACTTCAAAACTTTTTTATATCTGTAACTATGATACAATTTGGAATCATTTGACACATTTTTTTTATGCTTATTTGCTTTTTTTTCAATTTTATGCATATTAAAACTTATATGCTTATTTAATGCTTTTTTCGACGAATATGAGTTTTAATGCATATTTTGTTCAAATGCCGGCCTTGTCGGGATGACAAATACTTGTTAGTTAGTCGTATCGTATCGTATGCATTTTACCTGGACTTGACCATTGAAGTACACTTACTCAAGACCCTTTCTGCGAATAGGTTCCGGTCGTTTGGGTAATAAAATTTTATTATAGGATTGGAAAAATACTCCATAGATTTTATGACTTTAAATCCTTACTTCCGTTGATAATGAATTAAAGCTTTTAACCAGATGTTCTTTTTCGGCATTTTGCGGCAAGACCGTTGAAGATTTTCTGCAAAAAAGGATTATTGTACCCAACTACCTACCTTAAAATGTTTCTAATGGAAACTTTTAAGTAAATGAACCGTTTATTTCACAACCATCAGTCTATCGCATCTGTCGTAGTACAGTGTTATACGTGGTTCTCCCTTGTTACATGTTGAGTTCTTTTTGGTAATATTACTAATATTTTAAAAGAATGCCGAAAGTAAAATCGACGCCGGATGAGTGGATAAGGGATTTTCCAGAATTAAAATTAGAAAACAACAAAATATTCTGCAGAGCTTGTGTGAAAACCGTAAGCCCACTAATTTTTTTTATCTATTTTCCTTTGTTAATCCTGTATATGTACGTTGTTTTAGATTCAAAGTGATAAAAAATATAACGTGACGCAACATGTCAGAACGACTCTTCATGTAGAAAGGAAGAAAATGTTTGAAGTTTCTAAAATTAAACAGCATACCATACATGAATCTGTTGCATCTACTTCCATGAGCAGATTCAGTTTAATTTCGATTTATATAAAATGATGATCCAGTCCAATATACCTTTAAAAAAATTGGAGAAAGGCCCTCTTCAAGAATTCCTTGAAAAACACTGCAATCGACATATTCCGGTTGAAAGTACTCTCAGAAAAAATTATGTAGGCCCAGTGTTTCAGCAAGTTTACAACGAAATTAAACATCTCATTGGAGATAGTTATCTATGGTTCGCTGTCGATGAAACAACCGATAGTTGTGGAAGATATGTGGCAAATTTAATTGTTGAAATCTTAAATGAAACTTTCCCTAGTCGAGGGTATGTAGTAAGTTTGAAAATGTTACATAAAACAAAAGGCAATACGATTACCAGATTTGTAAATGACAGTCTTACGTCACTATTTTTGCCAAATGCCGTACCGGCGAATAAAATTTTATTGATGATCTCGGATGCAGCTCGTTATATGTTGAAAGCAGGGAATAATCTAAAAATATTGTACCCCAATTTAATTCACTCTACTTGCATTGCCCACGGTTCAGGCGCGGATACAGGATTTCGTTCAGGGGGGGGCAATTTTTGTGTGATTTTACCTATCCACCAGAAATTCGTTCTAAACAAAAAAATTTATAAAATTTTAGCTAGTATACTCGTTTTCACATAACATGGGTGATATTTGGTTCTTTTCATTACACGTATAGTGTACAGTAGAACCTCGATAATCCTAATTCCTAATTGGGAAAAAGGTGTGTTCGGATTAACGATTTGTTCGGATCAGCGATTTTCCCAAAAATCTGAAAGGGAATTGAATAACAACTTCATACACAACTGAAAACAAACTTCAAGAAATAAACCTAAGTTTTATTAAACAAAAATTAAAGAATTCTTAAGCAACAATGGGTAATAGATACATTCTAAAAAAATATTACTCGGTGACCATAAACACGCTATCTTTTTGGAATAAACACCCCCGGATTTATACCCTGAAAATTTTCAGAATTTTTAGATGAATTTTTCAAAAATGAAATTTTCCATTATGTATTCGTATTACCTCCATTATGCAAATTTCGACCCATTCTCGACGATTTTCGAAATTTAACTAATTACATTTTCTTGTAGATTTTGGACCTCAGAAGTCACTTCTGGCTTCATTTCTTCAATAACTTAAACCATTTTTCCAGTATCGTCCAGTTGAAATATCGCAATTTTTAAAAATTTCGAAAAATTCGAATTTTACAGCGAATTTTCCGAAAATATTGCTCCGTTACCATAAACATGGTATATTTTTGGAATCAGCACGTCGGAATCAGCCTGAATTTTTTCAGAATTTTTAGGAAAATTTTTCAAAAATGAAATTTTTCTCATGCAAATTTCGACCCATTTTCGACGATTTTCGAAATTTAACCAAATACTTTCTCTTGTAGATTTCGGGTCTCCGATAACTTCAACCGTTTCTCCATAATTAGTTAATTAATTCAGTGCTTTGAAATATCGCAATTTTTAAAAATTTCAAAATATTCCATACAACATATGCAGAAAGATCTTGCGTCATTTTTGGAAGTAGATGCATGTTTTCAAGTTCAGTTCGGATTGCAGAGTTTTTGTTGGGATTAAAGAGGCATCGACTTCAAATGGCCTCTGTTCGGATTACTGGATGTTGAGACAATCGTGAGTTCGGGTTATAGAGGTTGTACTGTATTTACAAAATGAAATGATTTCAAAATTTTGAAATTGGTCAAAATAAAGTACCTCGGTCGTGTGTCAGGGGGGGGGGGGCAATGGGTGCGCGCCTGCCACGGTTTAAACAGAGTGGCTGATGGAATACGTTTGCAGTTTCCTACTGTTAATAAATTAGTGGCAAATGATAAAAAGATTTTTGTTAAAGCCCCACTAAGAGTGCGACATTTTGAGGAAAAATTTTCAAACATACCATTGCCCCCAGAGCCGATTATAACGAGGTGGGGAACATGGTTACAGTCCACATTTTATTATGACAAATATATCAGAGAATTTGAGGAAGTAGTTACGGAGTTTAGCGAAGATTCTTCTCAATCGATTAAAGATTGCATAAATATTTTGGAAAGCAAAGATTTGCGACAAGATCTAGCTTTTCTAAGAAGCAATTATCAATTCGTATGTGAGGTAATAGAAAAGTTAGAAAAACCCAACATGTTGTTGGTAGATGCCATAAACTTAGTGAAAGAATTTAAACAACAAGCAAACACAGTAAGAGGTGATATTGGTACTAGAGTATCTCAAAAACTTGACGAAGTGTTAAATGAAAATGCAGGTTTCGGTGTTCTTTCCGACGTTGCTTGTGTTTTACAAGGCCAGAAGGTGGAAAATTTGGAGTTAGATTCAACATTAGTTGCAAAATTCAAATTTGCGCCAACAATGAGTGTGGATGTTGAACGCAGATTCTCCAATTTTAAACACATTTTAAATGATCGGCGAAAAAATTTTACAGTGGACAATTTGGAACATATTACAATCATAAATTGTTTTAAAGAAAACTGAAATACGTGTGTAAAATATAAAATCTAGTATTATTGTAATAATATTTTATCCAAAGTTCTAAGAAGTGTTCTTTGATTTGTAATATGGTTATGTTTTTAATGCTTTTTTGCTTAAAATAAAACTTTTTTATTGAAAATATTGTGCTTATTTAAGTGCTTATTCTTATTTTTTTTGTGCTTATAAATCCGCTCTCTAGTAATGTGGTAAGCTAGAATTAGTAAATAAGTAAGTTTCTAAAATGGTACCGTGCGGGTAACAATAGTTTGAGTTGGCTTTGCCTGCTATTTTTGTCTGGTACTATTATCCCCAATTTG